GCGTCCCGCCCCCCCACTTTCCTCTGCAGGGGGGCTGGTCCGTGACACCTGGCCGCTTACATTAGCTTCCTTCCGAGGCCACAGAGCCAGGCTTCCCTCGCTGTTCCCCCAGTTCCCCGCCCGAGTAACGAGATTCTGTACATGAAAAAGTTGGAGTCCTGTGCAGATGGGAGCGAAGCTCATTTGTGTGGGAGACGAATAGGGCCGTCAAGTTCTGCTGATGACACTTTCTGATGAGAAAAACCTCATAACTGCTGCCCGAAGGCCCAAGCCCAGCACCCTTCGTCTGATGGTCAGGGGCACCAGGACCCGACCCCTTCCCTCAGCCGTGTCTTCCACCACCGCCTCCGACTCTCAGTTCTGCTCCGGGAAGGTGTCCCGCCACGCTTGCCGGGCTCAGCGACCCCACACGTGCCTCTGCAGGGGGGCTGGTCCGTGACACCTGGCCGCTTACATTAGCTTCCTTCCGAGGCCACAGAGCCAGTCTTCCTGCTGGGGGTTAGTCCCAGCTGGGGAGCCTTACAGACCTTTCTGCGCGTCTCCAAAGGAAGTTATCGCCGCAGGCCTTGCTGTGTTGACTTGTGTTTGCCCCCTCGGCTGTGAAATCCTGGGGACAGTGAGGGGACTTCCCTGAACCATCTCTGCCCTGTAACTCCCGATACTTAGTATTTGCTGCACGGCTGCGACTTCGAGGTGTGGCCGGGTGCCTGCTGGTCTGGCCAGGCCCAGGTGACCAGTGGGCATCACTGAAGATGTGGAGGAGGCAGGAGATAGACCTTTGAGGAGACAGCCTCGGGCCCACCACAGGCCAGGGCAGGACAGACTGACCTCCAGACCTGGGTGGGACTGGTGAGCTCATCGCCGTTGGGTGGCACGCAGCAAAGTCAGGTCAACTGTGTTCACGTCAGGGCTCGCCACTTGCCGCCCACATGACCTCAGGCGTCCCATTGGCCAACCTTGCTGGCCTTGGTTTGCTTATCTGTGAGGTGGTACTTACCCCTCTGGGGTTGGTGGAAGAGATGAAAGAAGATACTTGTAATTACTATTTATTTAACACATACTGTGACTTATCCTATATAATAAAAGCATAATATGCAAGTTGTCCCCTCGACTGGGAGTTCGACCATGAGTTCAACCAAGGGGATGGGGTCGGTGGGCCAACTTCCTGTAGCCCCTCCCCCGGCTGGCCCGGCCCCGATTGGCCCCAACTGGGGCAGGTCGGCCAGACCACACCTGTGCACAAATTCGTGCACTGGGCCTCTAGTAAGCATTATATTGTTTAACCACCATAAAAACCATATAAGGTAATGTGTCATTTAAAAAAATAATATATTTTTATTGATTTCAGAGAGGAAGGGAGAGGGAGACATAGAAATATCAATGATGAGAGAGAATCATTGATCGTCTGCCTCCTGCATGCCCCCCACTGGGGATTGAGGCTGCAACCTGGGCATGTGCTGGGACCGGAATTGAACCCTGACCTCCTGGGTTCATAGGTCAACGCTTAACCACTGAGCCACTCTAGCAGGTGGTAACTTCTCATTTTTTTAAAAAATATCTTTATTGATTTCAGAGAGGAAGCGAGAGGGAGAGAGACAGAAACATCAACGATGAGAGAGAATCACTGGTCAGCTGCCTCCCGCACGCCCCCTATGAGGGATCGAGCCCACAACCCAGGCATGTGCCCTTGATCGGAACTGAACTCGAGACTCCTCAGTCTGCAGGCCGACGTTCTATCCACTGAGCCAAACAGGCCAGGGCCTCATTTTTGGCGATGAAGAAATCAAGACCTAGAGGGGTCAAGACATTTCCCCAAAAACATGTGGTTTCTGACACGGAGTGCACCGGGTTGTGAAAGGTCGGTTGCCTCCCGCACGCCCCCTACTGGGGATGGAGCCCACAACCCAGGCATGTGCCTTTGACCGGAATCGAACTCGAGACTCCTCAGTCTGCAGGCCGACGTTCTATCCACTGAGCCAGACAGGCCAGGGCCTCATTTTTGTCGATGAAGAAATCAAGCCTAGAGGGGTCAAGACATTTCCCAAGGACCATGTTTCTGACATGGAGGAAGGGCTCAGCAAGGTGACTGTTGCTGCTCTTACCAGGACTTTTGTTCGCAGAGTTTGTGAAGATGATGTCTCGCTGACGAGGTTCTGGGAACGCCAGCCGCTCCCCACCTGGTGATGGGGATTAAGCATGAGGATGAGGACCGAATACCCTTGGGGGGGTGAGGAGAGGGGAGGGGGACTGGAAAGACATTGGTGGGAAAGTGAGCGCCTTGCCCTGGTTGGGGGCGGTGGTGACATCTCTAGAACTGGATTAAGGAGGAAGAATCCATGAATGGAATGGGAACAGGACTGGGGTCCAGTTGCCGCCCCAAAAATTCCAGCGACCAACGCCATCTTTTGAGGCCACGTCATCCCACCTCCCCGCCACCTGCCCGCCTCTCCCCCAGCCTCCTCTTGCGTGGAGTGGTCTGTTCTCCTCACCAAGCTCAGCCCGTGGTTCTACCTTCCCCTTCCTCCTCCCTCTGCCTCCCAGCCCTCCCTCCGTTCCCGGGGCAAGAGGAGAGCTGCCCATCGCAGGCCGGACGCGGGGCACCCGGTAAGACTGGGCTGGGAGATGGTTGGTTCAAGGTGCGTCCACGTGAGTGTACCCTCTCCCTCCTGTCCTTGATTTTGGGGGAGGGGGGGTCGCGTTCCCCTCTGGCTTCCGGCTTCCTTGTCCTGGTGTAAGCGACTCCGGCCACTGAATTAAACCACAGATCAGATTATCAAGGTTTAGGCTAAGCCGATCCCCGGGGAACGAATCCCCCGCGAAATGTCATCCGGCAAAGAGAGAGCGGGCACCGCAGCCTCCAACCTGTGGCCGCGCCTGGTTCCCAGAGCCCCGCCCCGCCCTCTGCCGGGGCTGCGCGGGAAGATCCCTCCCGGGAGCCGGGCAGTGGGCTCCAGGCTCCACCCCCGACCCCTGGACACAGGTCCAGGCTGCGGAACCGGAACCGGAGGCGTCGTCCTCCTCGCCTCTCCCCGCGCGCAGGGCAGGACGCGGCGGTAACGCAGGGCCCCTCCCCGTGCAGAGCGCGGTTCACGCCTCCTCCCCGTCTCCCTCACGTCTGAAATCCAGCAGGAAGATGTGCAGGATGGCTCACCCGGCCCAATAGCCTTGTTGCACAGAATTAAACATTTTAAAAAGTGGATCAGCCCTGCCGACCTAGGAACCGGGAGGTCACGGTTTGATTCCTGGTCAAGGGCTCATGCCCAGGTTTCCGGCTCCATCCCCGGTAGGGGGTGTGCAGGAGGCAGCCGATCAATGGTTCTCTCTCATCATTGATGTTTCCTCCTCTCTCTCTCCCTCTCCCTTCCTCTCTGAAATCAATAAACATATTTTAAAAACACACACACTAAAAGTCTGTGGGTTTTTATTTTTTAAGTGGAATCAGAATAATGTATTTCCTAACCCAGTGGTTCTCAGCCTTCTGGCCCTTTCAATACAGTTCCTCATGTGGTGACCCAACCATAACATTATTTCCGTTGCTATTTCATCACTGTCATGTTGCTACTGTGATGAATCGTCGTGTAAATATCTGATAGGCAGGATGGTCTGAGGCGACCCCTGTGAAAGGGTCGTTCGACCGCCAAAGGGGTCGCGACCCACAGGTTGAGTAATAATTACTGAGGGCTGTCATTGTCCTTCTTCACCATCCTGAGACCATTGCATTTGAAGCTTCCCACCCTTCACCCCCTTTCCCCTCCCTCTACCCGCCTGCTACCCTTCATTTGCTCAGCAGCGATGCATGGCGTGCTTGTCATGTGCAAGGCTCGCCTCCAAGCCCACACCCCAGGCCCAGGAGCTTGCATTGTAACGGGGAAGACAGCAAAGTAAAGGAGCAAATGTAACTGTACTGAGAACGTTGGAAGGTGGTAAGAGATATGGGGGAGGGGGGCGAATGAAACAGAACGCAGAGGAGTGACATGATCCAGACCCGCCTTTCAAAGCTGACTTCTGCTTCCTGTCCCAGCTCCATCCCGTTCCATCTCTACACCCACCCACCCACTCACCCACCCACCACCCACTCCCTCCCTCACCCAGTCGGCATCATGTTTGCTGAGTCCCTACTGTGTGCCTGGCACTGTCAGGTGAGGGAAGTAGAGCAGTGATGAAGGGGCTTGAGGGGCTCTGGGAACGCAGAGGAGTCCTCATCCCACAGGGGCCCCGGGGGCATGACTGTGAGCATCTGGGACACGGTGCAGGGTGCGTGCAAAGGCCCCGAGGCAGGAATGTGCCTGGAGTGTCGGAGGAATGGCCGGGAGGCCAGGTGGCTGGAGAGGGTGGGCGGTGGTGTGGGAGGCAGCTAGACAGACATGGGCAGCGCAGGGACGATGGGCCAGGTACAGAAGGTCAAGGGTGAAAAGCCCTAAGGGCCCAACAACAGACAACTGTAGCGGGGGTGGGGAGGGGAGGGCTTGTCCCAGGGTGACCTGAGCTCCCCTAGCACATCGCTGGCTGTGCGGTTTGGACCCCCTGACCGTTTCCTCCCAGGAGACAACATCCAGGCCTCTGTGTATCTCAGCTCCAGGCCCAGAAAACCAGACAGGGGATTCCAGGGCCATGGCTCCTCTCAGGACCAACTACATGGAATAATGACCCCTGTTCTGGTGCCGGCCAAACAGTGGGGGCTCCACTCCTGAAAGGACACATCTGGAAAGCAGCTGGATAATCTATTGAGATCTTCCCCTGGACCTCCCCCCAAATCTCCACCCTTAACCCCTTAGGATGGAGGACCCACTGTGTTCTCCCTCCCAGGAGCACACCCACGTCTTTCCCTTCTCCCTCTGGCTCCCCCAGGCGTGTTCCCATTCCCTTCCTCGCTCCCCAGCTCTGAGGGCCCTTCTTTGGCCACCGTAACTTGTTTTCTGAGCTCATTGCTTCACCACTCGTTTCTTCCACCTCCGTGATTTTCTAAATAAACTAGGGGCCCAGCTCAAGAAATCTGGCGCCCCACCCAACCGTGCCCGGCTTGCCACGCCCACCTTGCCACCCCGCCCGCCCACGGGCCACCAGCCTTGCTGTGATCAGAGCCTGTGGGCCGCAAGGGAGGGACTAAGAGGTACTCCATGCACCTCCTGGTGACCGGTCGATTGGTTGTTCTGGCGTTATGGCGTTACGGTGTTATGGCGTTACGGCGTTACGGCGTTACAGCGTTATGGTGTTACGGTCACAGGCCTTTTATAATATAGATGTTCTCTTGTGGTCTGTCTTGGCTCTGAATTCTTTCTCAGCCAGAACTCAAATTCCAAGGTTGCTGAACCCAAATCCAGCCTGACCCACTGGTCTAACACCGGGTGCCGTTCCCACCCCCGCCAACAGTCAGGGGTCAGCGCGGATCAGAGGTTCCATCACGCGAGTCTGTTCTTCGAGGCCATTTTCAGGATCTTGGAGGGTTCAGC